AGAGTAGGCGGCCGTACATCGTAGACCTCCAGAGATAGTCGCGAAACTGCTGAGTTGGTAATGAAACTTGCTTTCTCTCCTTAATCTAGAAGGATAAAGACCGATTCCATTTCGTTCGTTATTTTGTGCTAAACATGGGCTTTGACAATCATCAAAATTGGCTGGACAGGCATCGAAGACTGGGACTGTATGTTTTTTACAGCAGCGAGGCAGTTTATGATACTTTCGTAATCAGACATAGCGACGGAATGTATAGTAGAATGGGTTTCTGGTGGTGAATAAGATCTTGAAGTGCTGCGGTTGAACCTTCCTGGCGAGTGCGTGGAATCAGCAAATCGAACCCTAGGCGGAGAGCGAGACGGGTATGGAGATGAGCGGCGATAATGATAACATGAGGGTTGGGAGGAACGATGGGCGGAATATCTAGGAGAATTATAGCGCATAGAATGACGAGTTTCCCTGTCGTAACGACTGTATCGTGACCCCGAACGACCCGGTGAGCTAGAGTGGCTACGCCTAAGGGAGTGACGTGAACGACGGCTTTCTCGAGAACCGTTAGGGAAGTGGTTATGGGTCGATTGTTCCTTGGCTCAGGGGTGGCGCTGCGAAAGCGGCCGACTGTCGATGGTCTTGGAATTGGGTTGGTAAAACAGAGGAGAGGATGGTGAGGCCTTCGAAAACGATTACAATTAGGTGCGTCGCAGTTGTTCGCAATATGACCTAGGCAGATACACTTGTAACACAACCGAAGACGATCAACAATAAAACGTCGAGATGATGGATGTTCAGTTGCTCGACAGTTGCTGCATCTGTGATTTGATGATGCACAAAAACAGCAAATATCAGGACCGTACGGAGGGTGTGGTGTCATGTTTCCTGGGTCAATTTTTTCTTTAACTGAGAGCGAATTCACAGATTGATCTACAATGTTGAGACAAAGGGTCCTATCGTCTATTTTTTCGAGTTCGTCGATGTATTTGCTAAATCCTTCTAGAAGTTCCTTCAAAGGCCAAGTCTTACCTGACCGATGTTCCATCTTGATCACTTCCAGCTGTGTGTCCTTCGGGAACTTTTTCCGGGCGAAATTTTTTAGCGACAGCGATTGTGATGTCTCCTCGAATAGTTCCAATTGTAAAATGCAGGCTTGAATACGGCATAACGTGATTCTCTGTGAATAAGCGTTAGTAGAAGACGGCGGGATCTGTTCGAGCTTCTGTAAGAAGAGATTGTGAGTATAATCTAGCCTGTCAAAACGCTTGAGTAATTGTTCAACTGCTAGATCGTAATTGCGTGGATCAGTTATGTCGAAGGCTTCTACAACTAGCGCGGCAACCCCTTTGAGACTACTGATTAAATGGAGGAATTTGTTGGCAGTAGAAAGGGATGGATTATTATGGGCTGTGGTCTCGAATTTAGCCCAAAAATAGGATTGAGATGGTTCTCCATCAAAGGTTGGTAATTCTATTTTGCGCAGCTGTACAGCCTGATCCTCATTCGAGGCGGTAGCCTGCATGGGGAAGATGGTATCTTGCGAAGATGCGCGAGCTAGAGTTGAGGAGATGTTGTTGAGCGAGAGCTGAGCGCGGACTTCTTCAGCGAGCTTAACCTCTACGTCTATCTGCGCGTCAAGCTGATCAATTAACTGCTGTGCTTCCTCTATCAGCCCTCTATGATCTTCCCAGTAATTATCGAACTCTTGCCCTATGGTCTCAGGATCTTCCAGCTCATTGATGTTGCGGTATGCGTGATCATAACGCTCTCGAAGCTTATCAAGCGCACTTTGAATCTTGGACTTAGCTGACTTCATTCCAGTTATTCTTTGATCGAATGAACAAAGTTGAGCCTCGAGCGTTGGTTGTGTACTGGAGTCCCTCAGGAAACTGGGATCAACTTGCGCCATAGTGCGCGGCAAATAGTTGAGAGCAAGCGTCAGTCTTGCATTAATTGGTCCCTTTGTCATGTTCGCTGTATCGCTCGGTGACACTATCTGTAATGGGAAATTGCAGTGAATAAGTAATTGAACATTGGTGAAGCTTTGGCCAGAGCGTCACCTTAGAAAGGCTAAGATAATATTATGCGAAAACGACCAATTCGACACACGAGCAATATCACGGAAAGAAGGCGACAGGGAATTAGGGCTGGCTAAGAAAGACAAGCTCAGAGCGTACATAAATAAGGCCTAGAAGGTTACCACGTAACTCCAGACGAAGTAGGGGGGCGGGACATGACACTTAGAATGATCTGTTCCAGACACGAATAGTCGATCCAAAGACAGGCAGGAGGAAAGACGGTAGCGCGTGTTCTTACCACAGGACGTCGATCCTTGGGTGTCCTGAGCACAAATCCTTCCTGGCAACCCTGCAGCTGAAGGCCATGGAACATATCCAACTTGATCTACCCCTGCAAAGTGGGTAAGAGCTTAGCGTTTAGAGGTCTGCGCAATCCAGACCGCGAGAGCTCTAGCAGCCAGTGCCACCACCCCCCGTGATGGTCTACCGCCTCATCGTGGCGCGGGGATGATCAGGGTGTCGAATTGCGAAGTATAGCGGAGGTTTATCCTCCAGCAGGGTCTCCCATGCTGAGAAGGAGTTCGACGTTTCCGGTTCCCCGGATGCCCAGCTAAGAGTAGGCCGTGCCTGAAGCCCCACCGTTTGGCGGATTAAGTCGCTAGGTGGTTCCCT